AATTTAAACAGGTTACTTTCCACCCCATTCATCAATGTTCAAGTAATTTGATTAAAACCACACCAAAATGCTTATTCATTTTTGGCCTCTGAGTTCTCTTGGAGAGGTTTGTCGGTGGCTGCAACACTGACTGAAGTTTCATTCTTGTGGGAAAAGTCTAACATTATTTGCTCGCTGCCTTTCTTTTCTTCCACAGGCAGTACCTTAACAGCTTCCTCGGCATTCTCCTTTGGCTGGTCCTCACTGGTCCCTCGCTTACTTTCATTCAGAGCCCTGGAAATGTGAGCAATGAAAAGTGGAAAAAGTTAGGATTAGAAGAAAATAAAACTAAGCCAATCTATACAGTTACCTCCCCAGCAAAAAAAAAAAAAAGAGTGCAATTTTCCCATGATAATGTTTTGGAGATAACAGGATAAGTCAAGCCCCTTGGGACCTCGTACAGCAGGGGCTGCCAACCTTTTTGCTTTGATATCCAGCCCCGTCACTGCCATAGACCACAAGTCTCTACCTCTCAGTGCCAGCTGGCTTACCCTAGTTGCCGATTCCCATCCCCTCTGCAGTGAGGATAGGCACAGATATGGGAGAGCAGTAGGCTCCACAGCAGACAGGACACTGCAGAGGGGATGGACAGCACAGCATAGCTCCATGCTACTGATCCCTGTGCAATCAGACCAATCCAGCCAGTGGACCATAGGTTGCCGACTCCAGTACTTCAGTACAGATGCCTGTAACAGGTGATGTAACAGAATGAAAATTTTAGTTTCCAAGAACCAAGGGAGGCTGCATGATATAGTAGTAAAGGCACTGGCCCACAAAGCAGATGACCTGGGTTCTTTCCACAGTTCGGGTGCTGAACTGCTTGTGTGACCTTCTCCTATATGGGATGGTTTAGGAATACTGAATCCTGCAACTGTGCAGAGCGGGACTCAACTGACCACATGGCCCTTTCACCTTCTATGATTCTGTGAACATTTGAATTAAACTGTGAAATTCATTGATTATGAGCTGCCTCATAACGGCAAAGAAGGAAGGATTCTAATTTTACCGTTTCATCAAACAAAGTGCTTTTGACAGTATGGGTATTGTGTAGGCATTATCCAATGAGGGTTAGGTCAATCTACAAGCCCAATCATGCAGGCATTTGGAGGGCTTAAAACTCCCCAAAAAACGTTGTGCCCAATCTAAGCTAGTTCACACCTCAGGAGGTGCATTAACTTAGACTGAGATCAGGCTAACCTGATCTAGGAAGGAAAGGGTTAACCCAATCTCCTGAACATCTGCACATGTTAACAGCACAGCCCCAGACCTGGAAAGCCCAACCACTCACCCCAGGGCTGTGCTATTCCCACCCTAACCCTGACTGGCCTATTTTTAACCCTTTAACCCTCTGTCCCACTCCATCAACTGGCAGTCCCTCCCCTTTTGCCCTGCAGACCTGCCAGCTGCCTCCATTCTACTCACCCGTCCCCACACATTGAGTTAGTCACATAGGGTTCCCTGTGTGGCTGCCAGGTGCAGCAAAAGGCTGTATGTACCACTCCTGATCTACATTTAGGCAATTTAAAGTAAGCTACATGAGCATAAATCAGGCGTGACGAATGACTGAACCTACCCTATACAAAACATCTAGGAAAGTTGTCCTTCCCCAGAGGCCTATCTAAAACAATCCCTCGTCTCAGCGTCTAAACCCTTCCAACCACTGGCTTTCAATCACTCAAGTAACTCTCATCTAAAAAGGCAAGAGAAAGGATAGACATCACTACTATCTTTGACATTCTAGCACTATGCAAAATGAACGTTACCATATTTACCTGAATATAAGACAAGGTGCACCCCCCCCATCAGCATGGGGAAAAAGCCCCTTGTCTTATACATACGTAGTGAAGCGGGGAGCAGGCAGCTGCTGTAGCTCTGACACTGGCCCTAAGCCCTGGTTGGGGCCAGAGATGTGGGTTTTCTGGAAAATTTTGAATTGGAAAATTTTCCAATGCCCTACATAGAGCGCGATTTGATTTAGCATGTTTATTTTACTTATATTTAGTAAACAAAACTAAAAAAGTACCCCCGTGTTAATTTTATGCCCCAATAGCCACAAGCATTTGAATTGAAATATTTGATTATGAAAAAATTAAGTACAGCACACTAAATGTGGTCTAAATGTTATATTCAAACAAATTCAAAGCTTTATGTGGAAAGAAATTATTTTTATTGGAATACTTGTAAAAATGCAAAGACAATACACAATAGCATGTACTTCCCTTTCATTGTTTGTTTAAATTTAAGGAAAAAAACCCAAGGCACTGAAAACTGTTGACACACTAATTTTAGCGTACCCAAAGAACTGTGCATGACATGCCATGGTTGTCCACTCATCTACTTCAGCAGAGTTTAACTCTCTTCCATTGCAGCACCTCCAGTATCACTATCACTATCTGTAGAATCACTTGCACTACTTATTGGTCCATTTCAGAATCCGACTGAAGCAAATCTGATTCACAGCTACCTGACCCATGTTCTCTTTCAGTAAAAGCAGAGATGTGGAGTGGAAAATTTTCCACAGAAAAATAAAGCACTGGAAAATTTTCCATCCCACATCTCTGGTTGGGGCCAGAGTCAGACCCACAGCAGCCTCCTGCCTCCCCCCTTTCCTTCCCCTCTGCAGCTTCTGCCCCCCACCCCCCACTTTCTTCCCTCCCCATTGATGTCAAGCAAATCTCAGCTCCAGGTTGGGCTTGGGTCTCTCCCACAGAGTACATGGAAACTGTTTCCCCTGCCCAGCCAAATAGCAGCACCAACACTGGTACATGGACAGGCAAGGGTTGAGCTTCCACATGCCATGCTTTGGAACGGAGCAGCTCATGCAGTGTCTGACAGTAAAGGGAAGGTGGGGAGGAAAGAGGCAGAGACTGTGGGAGGTAGGGAGGGAAGAAGGAGAGACTGGGAAGAACAGGGGGAGAGGCTGAAGCTGTGGAGAGCTGGGGGTGGGGGATACAGGTGGCAAGCAGCCAGGCAGGCTGCAGGGGGAAAAGGGGTATTCAAGACAACCTTCCAATTCATAGATTCTGTACTTGGGAAATTATAACAAATATATAGAATATAATTATTGGGAGGGGGGTCATCTTATATTCAGAGTCATCTTAAATGTGAGTAAATATGGTAACCACCAGCCCCCGGCTCTAATAGTAACAGTGAGCAAGCCTTCTGATTTGGAGACATTAGGGCCCGAGATATTATCGGTTCTATTTACAAGATTTAGCTGATAAAAGTTTTGAAGGCTAGCAAGAGTATCACAAATGCACCCACCCACCCATGCTGTGGGCTTCCATGAGCGCAGGAAACAACACAAAGGGCTGTGCTATTAACCCTATATTGTGAATTTCAGTGAGGTGGTGCACTGATCTGAAAATCTTCAGAGAAAGATCAAATTCTTAATTCTATGTGACATCATAAATTTAATAAATCAGCCTTCTGAAAGAAATAGTACAAAGGGAAAACACTTAATAAATCCCTAGGAAAAGGTCACAGTTATTTGAAGAAGTCTTCATGCTGGTCCAGGAATTGACAAATGGCAACAGTAAGTTCCAGCAACACTAGTTATGGAGTTGGATCAATGAGTGGGAGGACACTTGAGGCCTTGAGGTCAGATTTAATGATAATCCTCAATTTGGTCTCATAATTCTTGCAAGATGCTCCAGATTTTGGTCCAAATTGGTGAAATGTTCTGAAGATTCGCTGTACCCTTTTCTAGACGTATGTACTTTTTGTCCATCTCTGGAAAAGATGTTCCTTCTAGTTTGGGATCTGGGGTTTGAAGCTAGTCATCCCCACATCCAATACTGGGTTAATGGAATGAGAAACCATTTTAGGTCATTTTCTAGTCCCACAGCTACCTTAGAAAGTCTGGAGTGCCCGAAATTAATACATTTTTAAGGCCGGGACTATTACAACCATCTAGTCAAATCTCTAGCATTAACATAGCCCATATTCCTGCAGTGAAGGGAATTCTTCTCTACCTCTAGAAATATTCGTTCACCTCCCTGTTTTTGCCTTCACTAGGTATTGGAGGGAACAAAGATCTACTGTTGCCTTTGGTTGTTATGAAAAGCAGTTTGTAAAGCGACTTACATGCCATGCCTCAGTACATGTCGTTCCCACTCAGATCCCTCTGTAAATGATCGGCCACAAAACTCGCATGGAAAACGCTTCTCAGGAGCTCCGTTGTCTGAAAACATCAGAGAATCTGTTGCAGGAGGGAACAAATGTTAATCACAAGTTCATGAATGTCATGTCCAGAAGGGACCATTATGATCATCATCAACTGTGACCTCCTCCCCTTTAATCTTCAGGGAAAGAGGGGGAAAAGCTGGGCCTTTTGAAAAAATCTGGCTCCAACTTTCACTACATACAAACTGTGCAGAAGAAGATTCCTATCCTCCATGTTTACATCTATCTACAGAGCTATGATACGATTGGTGTTAGGTCCCCGTAGTTACAGTCTCAGTCTCCATGTTTCAGGGGGTGGGGAGAGTATGCACCTCCTCCTTTCAGTTCAAAAACTATTTTGACAGAAGGTTAATGTGGGAACAACTTGTAAGAGGGGGAGAAAAAACACAAGTCCCTATCGATTTTTCAGGCAGAGGCAAATTTTAGGCAACATGGTTTCATTATATAAGGCATGTGATCCACCATATATGAAGTCCCTCATGACCCTGCACATGATGTCTCTTGTGCTCAAGACAAAACAAAATTCTTTCAGTGGTAACCACTGGACAGGTGTCTCATCTTGTCCTAATCCTTTACACAAAATGCTAGGGACCTCATTTGTAGAAGAGCCAGACAACTCCAACTGAAGCCATTAGAGGCTGTGGACACAGCACTTCTGAAAAACCAAGCCTTATGTGAACAGAGCCAGCTTTAACAAAAGATGAAACATTTTCTCACAAATTAAGAAGATCACCACACAAGCCATTAAAAATAATTGCACGGACTATCTCACTTGATTCTTTTCACTGGAAATGAGACAGCACCATCTGCTCAGAGCATTAATTCCTTAGCAGGGATTATCTTGAGCAAGAAATCAACAGAATGCCTTTCTGACTCCTCCCAAACTACCTAATGAAAGAAAAAGGGAATGTGCTTCATTTAATTTTGATCTCTGCTTCCCTGTCTTTTTCATTTTAAAATTTTACTTCATACTAGTCCAAATCCAGGAACTCAAAACTACTCCCACACTTATTCTCTTTTCCTGCATATACACTTTGTACAGGCAGTTTTACAAAGACTTTGCTGGAGCCTGCCCTAAGTTAACTGTTTAAGCTGCAGTAGAAATACTTTTATCCTTTCACCACTGAATATGACAATCTGTTACATAATTAAAAATCAAAGGACCCAAACATCTTCCTATGTGAATTAGTACTGATTTAATTCTTCAAAGTCAGTTTATACCATTTAAAGATCTGGCCTTTAAGTTTAGTCCTAGATACTGATGCGTGTGGCACAAATTTAGAAGCATCACTATAACACCTCTTTTCTGTACCAAAGCTAGTCTAACACCTATTCAAAGGAAAACTTTGGAGGCAACAGCTGCTCTTCTGTGCAAGAATGCACCTAGACGACAGCAGACAATAGAAAATTTATTCTGGGCCTATGCAGGGGAGATACAGACAATGAAGTCTATTTTGCTCAAATGAATAGTGAGGATTTATACTTGTAATTCCCATTAACATTAATGAGTGTTACCCCTAGTAAATCCTCTACCCTTTCAGAACAGACTATATTCTTCCCTCCCTCTCCCCATGACTTCCCGATCAGTTTGGTTTTAAGGATTGTGAATGTGGGCTGCTTCTTGAAATAGAAAACAAGCTGAAAGTATTAAGTTCATCTCAAATCTACAGGAGCTGGGTTGGCACCAGGGCTCCAAATGGGAAAGAAAATATTTGTATGTTCAGGAACACCTGACCGTCCTTTTAGTGTCCTTGCACCTTGTACGCAGGCATCACTTCTCTCTTTTTTTTTTTTTTTTTTACTACTACACTGAGCATCCTTACAATTCAAGTTTGTTTCAAACTTAAGAGCCAGATTCATAGGGATAACTTGTGCCTTTATGACACTGCCTAGCCATATCAAGGGGTTCCAGAAGTATCCCAGAGAAGGAACATGTCTTCCCTATCCCTTCCCCACTCTGTAGCTCCCAGATATAGACCTTTTTTACTGTTCTTGCCAGCAAGAAGTTATCCCTTTCCTACATCCCTACATACTGCTATGTAGGGCTGTGTAAAGCTTTGGGTGGTGATTCAATATGGAGGAGATTCAGCCCGATTTGGTGGCCAAATCTCTAAATCTGAATCGAAGCAGGAGACCAATTTAAAAGTCCAAATCGATTCAAACCTCTCTGAATCTTCAGAAAAGATTTGGAGAGCTTTGATGATTTGGGTAGTCCCCAGTGGCTGCAGTAGGGAGCTGCAGCAGACTCTGAGCTGGTAAGTACTAGGGACAGGGGAGGGGACCATGGGGGGACCCTTGCCAGCCCACCCCCCCATGGGTGCCCCTGCCTGCCTCAGCTCAGTACTCTCTGGTGCTCACTGGGTGCTGCTGGGTTGGGGGGCGATCCCCGCTGCCCCCCACTGCATGCGGGGCTCTGCACGAGCCCCCTTTGTTCCCCCATGGGTGCCCTACCCAGGCTAGCTCTGGCCCTTTAGGAAAAAAAAAAGGCGAGGAAAGCCCCAGGACTCACTGCTCCTACAGCTGCCTTGGGGCTTGGGGGGCTCATGCAGAGCCCCCCACGTGGCGTGAGGCAGTGGGGAGCAGCGGGGATCGCCCCCCACTGGCAGAAGCACTGAGTCTTGGCCAGAGCTGGCCCAGGTGGGGCATGTGTGGGGAGGGCTGGGGGAGGTCAGGGGCTTGTGCAGAGTCCCCCACGCAGCACCCGCTGAGTTGGGGCTTTTTTTTCCAAAGAGCCGGGAGCTGGGGTAGGTGGGGCAGCCATTGCCAGACTGATCTGGAGATTCAGCAGCAGCCAAATCTCCGAATCAGATTCGGCCGAATCGAATCAGGACAGTGATTTGAATCACCGAATCGAATCACTGTTCCCCAAATCGGCTAAATCCAAAGCAAATACTAGCCGCTTCACACAGGCCTACTGCTACGGTATGAAGATATACCTATGTCCCCTCCATGACTCACTTTCTTGGGAGAGGAAACAACTGGGTACATAGGTGTGCTTACTCCTGGGGGCTTGGATTCAATGTCTCAGTAGACCATGTATTGTTGCAAGAAGTGTTTTACCCCCCCAGCATTGTAGTCCAAGTCACAGTATAAGCCATAGTGGGACTCCTGGGGTGAATTCATGACTGCTAAAGTCTATGACTTCAATAGGGCCATATTTCATCCCTGGCACTGAGATGAGAGAAGACTCTTACATGATGTCCATTCTCCAGCACGTGATTGAGTCTATAATTGTCCTAACTGCCTAAGTGATACGGGACAATAAGTCCCATATTAAAAATTATTTTAGCTTGGCCTTTTAAAATGCTATTTTAACTTATTCCATAAAGGGGAGGAAGTAGGTGATTGTGGAATGT